AGAACAATCAGAGGAAAAGAAAAGTAATAGAAAAGGAAACAAAAGCCCAGCGCCGGTGGCTCATGCCTGTAATGCTAGCTACTCGGGAGGCTGAGATCTGAGGATCATGGTTCAAAGCCAGCCTCGGCAGAAAAATCCGTGAGACTCTTATCTCCAATTAATCACTAGAAAACTGGAAATGGTACTGTGGCTCAAGCAGTAGAGCACTCACCGTGAGCTGAAGAGCGCAGGGATAGCACCCAAGCCCAGAGTTCAAGTCCCAGAACTGACGAAAAAAAAAAAAAAAAGGAAAGGAAACAAAAGGACAAGAAGAGAAAAAATGGAACGGAAAAGAAATGCAAAGGGAAAAACTCGATAGGACTTCTTGAAAGGGGGAAAGTAGGGTACATTTTTTGTCATTCAAATTATATCAACAAATTCAAACCCAAATATAGAAATTAATAATTCAAATAGAATACTTCTTTTAAAATCATTGTAGCCATTGGATGAATTAGTCAGACTATCTACACATTGCCATACTTATACCAAGTAGGTTACTTGTTTCTAAAATGATATTTCTAGAATGTCTCAAGAATTTTGCTTATCTAAAAATGCATTGACTGAGCACCTTAAACGTATGGACATGGTGCTCAGTTCTGGGAAGAGGAGATGAAGAAACCAGAGCATTGTATCTGAAACTTGAAGCTCTGCCAGGTACTGGTTTGAAGGTAGCAGGTACTGATTTGAAGCCAGACCAGGCTGACAAATCTTAGAGAAAAGCTAGAACAGGAAGCATGGTTTAAGTTGTAGAGCACCAGTGGTGAGTAAAAACTAAGCTGAGTGAAATCAGTAGGCTCTGATTTCAAACTTTCAAACCACAGTATCTCTGTGTGTGTTTAACACAGAGAGAGAGAGAGAGAGAGAGAGAGAGAGAGAGAGAGAGAGAGAGAGAGAGAGAGAGAGAGAGAGAAGAGAGAAATAAACAGGTATATCAATACAAAAGTGAATAAGCTACAACTTTGATGTACATCTCCTGTCTACCTCTTTCAAAGGAACTCTTCAAGTGCTATGGAGAAGCAAAGGTTAAGATGCAGTGCAAAGCCTAGGGACAGATTCATGCCATTTGTTCAAGGCCAAGTTTTAGCTCTATGTCCTCTAGGAAGCGTTCCACTCCACTTGGACCATTTAAATACTTCAAATCAGTTGAAGCTGCTATTTAATCATTTGGGCCCTTAATTCTTTCCAATCTACAGTGGAAATGTAGTTTCTTCCTGGATCTTTGGTCTCCATACTCAAGGAAATTTAAGTAGGTTCTCTGATTGGAAGGAAGCAAGGTCTTTTGAGCCATATACAACACTACACATATTTGAAAAGCAGAATACTTTATTGGATTAAAGATTTGTAGAAAGACACCCACAAATAATAGGTATGTAACAGGTACTTAAAATCTGTTCTGCCTAGGACCACTGATTCCTTACTGCGTTCCATCTGAATATTCCTATAACATCACCCAATCTCAACAGGAAGAACAAGACATATATTTTCCAAAAAATTGATACTATGGAAAATATAGCAAGGACAGATACCAAAGTATGCATATAGTCACAACTTTAGCAATTAAATTACTTTACTTGGCAGCCTAGATTGCCTAATTGCTCCAGTCTAATTTTATTTTTCCCTCATTTTGGTTACTCTACTTTCTCACTCATTCCTCTATTTTTTTAATTCAAGAATAAGATTTTACAGTCACCTAGTCAACCACCACCTGCCTTGTCAACATGCTTTTTGCCTATGAAGGCAAGTATTTGTTAGCAATACTCAATCTCAGAGGTTGGTACCAACAGATGGGTAGTACTGACACAAAGAAAGATAAGTGAAAGATATGCAATCTGGAACCATCCTGAAAAGGCAATGTCAACAAATGAAAATGAATAACACCAACTGGAAATAAGCAATCTAAGAACTTTCCAAGTTTAGGGCTTTCCATAAAAATAAAAATAAAAAAAACCTCTTTTTCTCCTTGTGTTTGATTCTGCAGTCTTTGGAACATTATGCTACTGAACACATTAATTTGCAGGAAAATTAATAAGAATCTTCATTTCCTTTTCTCTCATCTCCTGATCTCATTATTCTAACTGGCACTAAGCTCACGAAACCAAAGTATCAGTAACCGAATCAATAGTCAAGATTTTTCTCTCATAGGCATTCAGTTATAGAATTTGCTTTTTTTGGGGGGGGGGAGGGAGGAATGTAACCACTTAAGTTAGATTAGAAACATAAACAATGGTAAAAATAGATCTTTGTCCATTAGAAAGATATTTCCTTAAATTTTTGGTCCTGTTGTATAGCTGATGGCAGCAACTTGCACTTACAGCAAAGTATACCTTCGGTTGTCCTAGATTTAGAAAAGACTGAAAGTAATCAGTTATTTGCTTTAATACCACATGAAAAGATGATTAGTATGAGATAATAAAAAGTATCAGTTTGCATCATGCTAACTTATCCTTTAAGTCTGTTTCTTAAATATTGCAGTACAACGCAAGAAAAATGTTTATTGTTTCATAACAAACAAAAAATAATGAACAAACAAATGAATAAAACAAATGTTTGTTTTCAAAGAGAATTAAATAAAAGAACTAAATGTTATTTCTAAATAAATGACTTTTATTTGAAAACTACTAGATAAATATTGTCGTTTGACTATGGTATTATTTACTTCCAACATCTAAGATTTGGACATTCTTATATAGGAGTTAGTTCATTTTATCTCTCACATCGTTGATAGACATATCTTACTTTCATTTTCTACTCACCAGTAGTGAAATTCTGCTGTTCATTATTTCTGCCTAGAATACTATATTAAACGCTTTACCAGGTTCTTGATATTTCCTTTATATTAACTTTTTTCCAAGTGCTAGGTTATCTTTCCATAATGTACCTTCAAATATGTATTTTCCAGTTTGTATTCCTCAGTATTTCTGTCTTATGTATGGTATAACATCTAAATTACTTCAGTACAGTATGGAGAAATTTTTGAGTTGTTGCTCCATTTTCTAGCCTTATTTCATAATGATCTACTTCACACTATATATACTACATAAATTTATAAGTTTACACTAAATTTTTCATAATTTCTATATAGACCTTGACTTTCCAATTTCTTCTCTAAGCCTGGGAGCTTTCCTGACTTTATATACTCTTTCACACCCAAGTTTATATGTCATCTCTTTGTGGTGATATCTCTAAATTCCTTGGGAGTAATTAATAATTTTTTCTGAAATTCATAAAAAAAGATTTGCTGTATCTTTTATATAACTTGTTATCTCAAAATATATTTAGGTAATTATTTTTCTACATTAATAGAAAAAATGTGAAAGCTCCTGGAAAGTAGAGTTAAATAGAAGTATAATTTTGCAAATTACCATGTTTAGTTGAAAGACTAAACAGAGTAGAATTCCAAGTACCTGTTTAACAATTGACTGAATAATCTGTTATTATTTAGTAGCTTCAGGGTTGCAGAATTGGTGTAAAGAACAGTGTGCAGGATCTCTATGAACCTTATTGACAGTTATAGAATGAAAGTTACTAGTATGGAATAATCTGACTTATTTTATAAATTAGTTAGGTGGCTATTCAGCTAGTCTCCACAGCATGTTTGGGATTTCACACAGGTGATCCAGGGGTCTCCCTGGAGAAATGTGAAATGAACAGTTTTCTACTGATTTTAAATAAAACTTTGTTCAGAGAAACTTTTGCTGTTTAAGAAATTATAATTAAATTTTATTATTAAATTGTATTATATTATTAAATATACAGCATTTAATATATAATTATAATGCAGTTATATATTTATTATATATACAAATTAATATACAAGTATACATTTTATTTTAATTATTTATTTACCTGCAACTATGATAAATTATAACTGTAGTTTAGTCTAATATAGACTTTGAAAGATTACTAAGTGAAAACAACTGAAGACCTTTGATATTGGTACATGAATATAAGAGAAATCACAAAGTGTGACAAGGCATTTATTTGTTCCACTTCAATTTCATGGAGCACTTCGATTTTATATTTGTTTCAAATCTCTACTTCACAGGAAAACTAGGTAAATAACCTTTGATAGCTTGGCTGAATTTACTAATAAAAAAGTACAAATGATAACACAAAGTATTTCAGATAAGGTTTTCCTCTAATTCCTAACTTTGTATGGTGCCATTGACTTAATCCTTGATCTGACCTTATAGACCAGGAAGTTAGAGTCCTGTTCACTCAATGATAAGAATACAATATGAGAAATGTGCTGCTAGGTAGTTTTTGTCATTGTACAGACACTGATTACACAAACCTAGATGATCCAGATCTGTCACTAAATGCAGCCTCAGTACAATCATCAGATGAGGTAAACAGCTAGTGGTGGCCTAACATGTCATATTATATTACAGGAAATTTATTTTATAAACTAAAGGAATACAATTATAAATTAATGAGAAAAATATAATACATAAACAAATTAACATGGTTGTTAATTGTCATTATTAGTATTGTAGATTAAACAAAATAATATTTTATAAATTCATCTGACAGAATATAGTGGATTTGGTTAACATCAACCCTGCCACAAATCTGTAATTTGTTGTGCTACTGTACAATAGTTACAATTTTCCCAACCTTAGCCAGTTTCAGCCCCACTGTAGTTGCATGAAACCAAATGTCCACCCTTAAAAGAAACACTGTTATGCTGTGCATATAAACAGCTGGTGAATTTTAGATGCATCCATATCTTTCTGAAATTTTGTCATAGATTTGGAATATTCCAGAGAAGCAGGTAAGACAATATTTTATTTGTGTAAAGGACAAGTGCCAAACTTTGTATTGCCTGAGCATATTACCTGCTCCCTTACCCACAGTGTAGGAAGAAAAACCTTATCTTCAAGAAAGTTAAACTATATCTTTACTGACTCTGTCTTATACTCTTATTAGTTTGTACAATTTTAAATTCATTTAAAAAATACCTGTTCAAATCACGATGTATAATTGGTTGTGTCAGGTTGTGAAGGTACTCCATACCTTTGGCAACATCTACTGCAATAATCAATTTAGACTGCAAATCAAGAATCCTAAAATTAAAAATAGTTTTTATGGAGATGAAATACTCATAACCAACAATTCCATATCACTTAAAAGAAATTAAGTGGTTTATGTTATTATTCTGTGTAATTTAATTTTGTGCTTTATTAATTGTATATGAAGCTAAAAAGCCAACCAATCTTGAAAAAGTAGCTTTGGACATCACAGAATGAATGCTTAATTATAACTCAACATAGATACATAAGTATTTAAACATATTGAACTTGATTTTCTAATTTATTTGTAATATACTGAAATTCTTTGCACTAATGTAAAACTTAATTATTGAATGAAACCATTTAACATTTAATTATATAATATATGTCTGAGAAACTAATACAAATGAGGCTTGTCTAAGGTTATTCTTTTTTAAGACTTCCTTTCATAGAAACTGTGGTGCTTGATAATTATTTGTGACCTCACCTTTATCTACTTCATTGCTATGGCAAATTGAGTCTTATTTGAGCTTCATTTGTCAACTTTAGTTCTTTGAGATTTAATTCTTTTGAAGGTTGTTACATATTCTTCCATCTCATTAAGAAATTATCCAATTATTTGAAATATAATAATCAAGCATCAATTATTTATCCATACTTAAAGTTCCATGCTTGCTTAAACTTAAGATTCTTTAGAAGATGAAGATTCATCTAATCTGAGTGCCACAGACATGTTAGAAGTCCAAGAATAAACCACAACAAGAACCCATACCTCTTCTGCTCATGAAGAAGGGAGAACAGCGAACCTCCAGATATGTACTGAGTGACAATGGCAAACTGGCTGGGATCGTTCAAGCCAGCGCCCACAAACCGAATTACACAGGGATGATTGAGCTGGCAGAGAATGGACACCTCTCGGCAAAACATATCCACATCCGACTTGGAACAGTAGGTGTTGGCTCGATAACTAGAAATAATGGCAAGAGGAAATTTTCATCAACAGCTGGATCCAAACAGTGGGCTGATGTTTTTCTACACAGTTCTAGAATCCACAGTTCTATGTGGATTCTAAACTTTTTGTTGTCTACTTACCGTTTTATAGCCACTATTTTATTTCTGCAGCGTCCTTTATATACTTTCCCAAAAGAACCTAAAGTTGTTTAAGGGAAATAAGTAAGCACAATTGTCTTGAATTCATTAAACTAAAGCAGACTTACATTTTCATAGGTTACCTGAGCCAATAATCTCATGGAACTCAATTTCTGACAGCTGAAGATGGAAATGTGAAGGCAGTCCAGCCCTGAGGAGGAGGACATCTGCCTTCTCTGAAAACAGGAATTGTCATATTAAATATTGAGTTAAGCACACATGGATGCATATACTCACATGTATATGTCTACTTTACAGAAAACATCATTCTCTAGTAACATTTATTTTCCAATTGGGATTGACTAATTAACATCATTAAAAATTATATGATCTCTGTACCCTTGGCATTAAAACTGACACGGTTTTCTGTTTCAGTTGCTCAGCCTTTGTTATCAAGGGTATGAGATTGTGTCCCTCTGCACATCAACCAGCTTGCCTGAATGGCATACAATGCTGGAGTGTAGTTTATACCACACGAAGATAAGGGCTAAGTGAAGTGTCTATGGGATATGAACCTCTATGGGATGACAACTAAATGACAGGAAATAAACACAAGAATCATCCTGAGGAAATACTCAAAACAACAACAACAAAATCCTTAAAAAATAGAAACTTCAAAGTCCCAATAGTTGCATCTAAATTTGACAGAAATTATATTTTTTTGCAAGTCCAGTGTGAATTTCAGCATGTAACATAAATTCAAAAAATGTTCCCAAATGATACTTGAGATTTGAGGGAAAATAATTTTTAAAACCTTTTCTATGGCAAACCTATTCCCAATTCCTCCAAAGGAAATATGAATATTTATCATTTATAATTTATTTTAAAATATGACTATCTGAATGGCATTATGAGAATTTTATTTTTCTTTAGTACTCCTCAAAATGTTAGTGTTTTTATGTCTTAATAAAAGAAAAAGACAAAAAGCATAAGATTAATATAAGGACAGTCTGCTGGTAATATTATTTATAATTGTAAAGTAGCCAGCATTCATAATAAGAAAGACAAAAAGGAAATTTATCATAGTTACACAATAATTATCCTTAGTAATAAAATACTACAATCATCCATTCAGAAATACCTTTTGTCATGTTTTTAATCTTTCCCAAGGGGGATGGAACAGACACATAGGAGCCATCTAGAAATGGAATTGTACAACACAGTTAAAAGTAGCAATGATTTTTTTTCTACTTAAAAACCCAACCTTATAAAAAGAAGCAAGTGATGAAATCAAGGAAAACCAAAGTATATAGCTCTAATCTTTCTCTGGGTACTGAGACCATTCTACAAACATTTATCTAGAAAGTACATGAAAATTTGTTTTAAAATCCCATGTGTAGCAGATTCCAGCATATTTAATATGTGTCTGGCTATGTGTATTCTCTGTCCTGCCTTAATTGATTACAGTACTGAAATGGAAAGTGATTGTTATCAACTTGCCAAGGATTTTCTAGTCTTAAATAATCCTCATGCCTATTCAGCCCAGGAAAAGTCTAAGTTGAAGGAATGTCAGATCTTTCATTTAGTAAAGAGTCTAAATAGGAGCTTTTTAATGTTCAGCTTTGCCCAGATATAGATTTTCTGAAAATAAGGCTAAATCTGCCTCCCTTTCTCCAAAATGACAGTCACAGCAATATGGGTTTATCTTTAGATACAATATTGCCTAGTAATGAAATAGGAATTAAACTTTAAAAAGTATATCTTAATGGTGAGGGGTACCTCCTCCAGGCTGAGAATATTCATTACAAAGCAATTCATCCTGGGGTCTCTTATAAAGCTTCAGAAGTGTGACGATGGCATCATGTCCTTCATAAAAAGAAAAAAAGAGCAAAAATATTAATTTTAGCTTCATTCATTCAATAAACCCCCCAATAGAAAAAAAAGATTTGTGGAAGAAAATATCTTGAGGTATTGCATTAATAATGTAGCTCTTTCATTTATTCATAATAAAACACTTTATTAAGAATTGACCATTTGTGATATCCTACAAGACTATCACTGGTGGAATGAACACGGTTACATCTCACTTTTAAACATCTTACAATGTGCTTGAACAATTACAAGAAGTAATAGTAAGGATTTCTAAACAAAGAAATATCAAGTGCTATGAAAGCACATAATTACAGTATGACTAAAAGGATGAGATGCACACGTAGTAACCAGGAAAGAGATGAATTTGCTGTTACTAAGCAATACAAACTTTTGGCAATTGTATAATATAGCAGTATGATAAGTTACATTGGTTTCTATGGGGGAGATATTGGTCACATTGTACCATCTTTCACAGTGACTTCTGTTGTTGGTAATGCTGCTCACCTAGGCTCATATTTCCCTGTACATCTTGTGTGACTCTATGACATGTTTGTCATCAAAGGAATAAGCAAAAGCAATGCCATGTTCAAATCTGAGCTGCAGCAAATCAGGATAAGCTTCTCTCCTCTCACCTAATAACCAGATGCACAGAATTCTGAAAGCCAGCCATGGCCAGAATTGCTCATGTTAGAAAGTTATATGACTAAAAATACACTTCTATTTTATAACAATGCCAAAATTTTGTGTGTATTATTTGTAGTAGGAATTATGTTATTGTCATTGTTTGTTATTTGTTATTGTTATTGTTCCTTTGAGTAAGCCACTGATTTTTTTAAAATATTTTTGATAGAAATAAATTGATAATATTTTGTACTTTCACCTTGAATACAAACTAGTGAAGCTAATTTCTGTAGGAGGAAAGGCCTACCAATGCAATAGTATCCATTGTAAAAACAAATGGCAAATTTAGGAACTAAGAAAAACATCAATGCCTGTCCCTCACAAAAGACCATTAGGTCACATTCATTCAACATATGCTTATCTAATGTTGAGAGTATAAGCTGGTCTATAGTGCTTGCGTTATCAAGTTATCCCTTCAAAACTTCATATGTGGTCAGCAGTCTGGAGGTTCTTCAAAATACCTAAACCTAGATCTTCCCTACAAAGCAGTCATACCACTCCTGGGTATCTACCCAAAACACAAAGCCAAGATTCAGTAAAGAAACTTACACATCCTTATTCGTTGCTGCACTATTCACAACAGCTAAGTTGCAGAAACAGCCCAGATGCCCTACTGGTCTGAAAATGTGGTACCTAAACACAATGGAATTTTACACAGCCATTAGGAAGAATGAGATTATGTCATTTGCAGGGAAATGGATGGATCTAGAACAAATTATGTTAAGTGGAACAAGCTAAGCTCAGAGACAAATGATGCATGTTTCTCTCATATGTAGAAGCTAGATCTAAAGTGCACTGAGACATGATACAGGACTCTAGGCATCTCCACAAAGTGAGACCTGCTGTTAAGGGAGGAACACAAAGGGCAATAATTATGAACATCTGATGACATAAAATAATATTTTTTTCAAAATGAACTCCAGGAAATGGAAAGAAGAGGGATTTTTTCCTTTGTTGCTGCTTTTGTTTCCTTTTGGTCTTCTTTGTTCATTTGTCTGTCCTTGGGAGGATAAGAAAGGGCACAGAAATGGTGGGACAAAGAGGAAACAAATGCAACAGGGTACTCACTGGACTCTAGGTTGAAAATGAACTATAGGACCTGTGGGTGGGGATGGGATGAAAAAACTGGGAAAGAGTGAGGGGTGACATTGCACAAAAAAGGTACTCTTTACCTGACTTAAGTATTTGTAATTCTTTGTACATCAAAGAGTTAAAAAAATTAAAAGGAAAAACAAAAATTCAAATGTTTGTAAAATCATAAGGTGGAAAAATATATTAACTGGCAATAAAAGTGTTTTCAAAAGTAATATCTCAATAGTGGATTCTTTAAGAAACAAAAATGTGAGTCATTGATAAAAACTAGTAGCAAAATCTTATATGTTAATTATATTGTTATTAACAAGTGCTGTTTTCTTCTTTTTAGATTTGTATTTCTAGCTATCTAGTATTTATATAGATATCTTGATATCTAAATAGGAATCATAGATATCTCCTTTTCTCAAATCATAACTATAGGTTCTGATGAACCAATGGAGGTCAGTTCTCACTACCGCTGTTTGTTTGGATTCTTATATGATCATAATCAGAGAAACTCTAAACACCATGACATTAGCCACCTATATTCCCTATCTTGTAGCCCCATCCCTACAGCCAACTGCAAATGCTAAAGGAGATAGACCAGTAGGCAGAGATATCAGATGATGTAAAAGTCCTAAGAGCAAATATGACAGGAAAGGAGAAAACTCTAGTATATGTGGGCCTCAGCACATGAGGATGAGAGGGGGAATGACTTGGTTGGAAAGGTAGAGGAGTGAGCATGGAGCTTCTCAAATGTGTTGGTGTGAGTATACAATACTTAGAACACAAGTTTCAAACACATTCCTGTACCCTACTCCCTGAGATTCTAATAGAAAAGTTCTGCAGTAGAACCTAACTGCAAGGTCCTTGATGCTAATAAGCAGCCCATATTTCAAGTCCTATTGATATAGAACTCTACAGTAAGTAACCTAGATTTTAGGTAGGATAGGGAGCTATACATGTTGAGGGATGATTTTTGTTTAAAATTTAATATATTAGAAATGATGAGACAGGATGATTGTAAATACTAAGTAAAACAACATTGTTGCTTTAAATTTTTATTTTAAAGGTGGAATGCAGAGGGGTTACAGGCAATGAGTTCATTTCTTTTTGAACACTTCTTCCCTTATTTTCTCCCACATTTTCCCTCGTGAGTCCCTGGCCCCCATTAGTTGTATAGTTCATTTTCAACACGGTGTCTAGTAAGTATCATTGCTGAATTAGTTCACCCTTTGCCCACCTTTTCTGTGCTTCCCCTTAACCTTCCCCCAAACACACAAACTTACATACAAGAAAAAAGTACAGAAATAAAAAGCACTGACAAAAAAGAAGAAAAAACAAAACACAAAAATAAATTAAAAGGGACTGTAAACATTCACACAGTGAGATAAAAGGAGGACATTCTTAGGAGAGGATCATAAAGGCTCAATAGCTATGTGCACATGATCATAGAAAACAATGTTTATTGATATGAACACAATATGTCTTATAAATCTAATACATTTGGGTACTTTTACTTTTCCACACCCAAAATTGGGTGTGGGAAAATCTTTTCAATCTTTAAAGAATCTTCTAAATACAGTCTATCCATTTTCTAGTGGTACTTTTGTTAATAACTGACAACTTAGTGCTTTAAACAATGCATGTAACTTTATCTTCTTACAGTTCTGAAGGTTGTAAGTGCAAAATAATTCTGTCTGAGCTAAAACATCAAGGTGTCAGCAGGACTCATTTTCTTTCTAGAAGCTCAAGGAGATACCCAGTTTCCTTGAGTTTTTTGACATTTAGAGGTCACCTATATTCTTTTTCTTGTAGCCCATTTTCTACAGTCCTAAAGCCAGCCTGTTAGCTTAGTCCTCTGATATCACTGTGACCTCGACTGCTGCCTCCTTTTTTCTTGTTCTTATTTAAAAAGTCCTGTCACTGTAGTGTGATCGAGTGGGTTAAACCAGAATAATCTCTCTCTTTTTAAAAATCAGCTAATTATCACCCTTATTTCCCCTTTGCCATGCAAGGCAGCACATTCATAGGTTCCAGGAATAAACAGGTCCTGGGTAACTTTGGCAAGTGTGTGTGAGGGTGGGGGTGATTACTCGGCCTAGCATACTTTTAATGACTATTTCACTGTGCCTGACTTGAATGTTGCGCTGCTTTTGGTGGATGTCTCCCTTTCAACCTCTGGTAGCTATCTTAACCTCAGGATAGAAGTAGTAACACCAACAAAAAGAAAAAAAATACCCCATCAGAATTAAAGTAACACTTTACCTCACTAGCTTTCTTTGCCCTGATGTACTCTGTCTGACTCCACCACCCTCTAGGGCTTTGAAATCCTTCTTTTAGTTAAATTGGCCTTCTGTGCTTGGAGCCAGAAAAAGAAAGAAAGACAAAACAGCAACAAAAACAAACCTTTTTTCCCTTCTTACTTCTGTTTTATCTAGGAAAGTCACATTCCATAGAACAAACCAAAACTCAAACTCCTAGCATTTACCCGAGCACATCAGAGCTTAATTTACAAAGCTCACCTTCTGGCCCATATCAACCCCTCTGTCAAACTGGCTGACAGGGAAGAAGTCCTCGCATTCTCCCCAGTGAGCAGAAAGCTGCATCCCTGGTCCTGAAAGCCTGTGTGAGTCAGTGATCACACCCACGGTGTTACCTTTCATTTCAACAGCTCTCTTGGCTCCACTTGCTCTGAACAGTTTTAATTTCAGACAGCACAGTGGCACAATTTGCTGGCATGTTCTTTGGGATGCTTTTCATCAAGAGCCTAATGAGTGCCTGGGCTCTGGCTGGTGATAAGCATGAGGCTGCCAGAAAAATGCCAAGCAGCTCCCACCGTGCTCTGCAAGGCGTTTCTGCCTGATTTGCAACCTCCTGCTAGCAGTGGGTTAGGACACCCATGTGTGGGAAATGCTCCCCAACTAGAACTGCTTGGACCAGGCGCTAACATGTACACAAAGGCATCAGAAAACCACTGTGGCTCAAATCTGCAACACTCAGCCACAAGGAGTTAAAACTACCTTATGGAGCTCAATAAATGGACTTGTGAAGCCAAACTCCTGATAATGGATACACTCAGATAATCAAGGCACACTAATGGAACACATCCAGAGATAATCAAACTTCCACTAATTAAATGAAATGTTTTCCTATGTCTAAGAATTTACTATCTAACATCCAAGTATTTTACCCAAATAGGAGAGTGCTCTGTTATTAGCCTAATGCAGTTATTATAA